GAATAAATATTAGCTCAGTGTGACCAGGGCAATATTTTAAAATATAGAATTGAGTGTTTACATACCATGAAGAGAGACATTCTGTGGTCGAGTTGTGTGTCCATATTTGAAAAAAATCTGCATAGCAATCAGCGACTGGCAAATTCAGATTCAAGTAGCTTTACTGGCATGGTAAAAAAGCCTTACAAAGCTTTGACAGCGCTTCGAACCAATGGTGTGTAATATTATCAGCTCATGTGTATGCTGAATTAAATGTTGAACATTGATTGGTTGTTGGCTGTGTGTGTGTGGGTGGAGGCAGTTGTTCAGAGTAAATGATACAAACTAGATGCATATGTGTGAGCTCTGAGTCTTTTCTTGGTATGACACTGCTTAGAGTGACTACACAAGAATAATACATGGTGTTGAGCATTATCAAATTTAGAGGCTACAATAGGCAGCGAATCAGGCAGTGATTGACAGCACTCTGATGCAGTGGCCAAAAGCTCTCTGATCAAAAATTCACAGACCACATTTGACAGCATACAAAACAAAATAATCTTGAAAAATAAGCAGTGTCATCTTAAATTCCAGTGCAGTGAAACAACTGTCAGCAGGGGGTGCTGCAGCACCCTTATATTCCGCGGCTATACATCTCTTACTTTTAATTTGCTAAGAAATTAAATACACTGCTGGACAATTACCAATAATTTGTATTATTAATTAAATTTGTAATCTTTTTTGGCAGTTTTATGGTTTGTTTATATATACTACACTTTTTTCCATTTTTATCACAGAATAAGGCCGGAAATATATATTATAGTTTCTATAGGCCACTGTTATAAAGGCTTTGTCATTTAACACTGCATTATTCAGATACTTTATTTATTACCTGGAGATGACTTGGAAAAACACACACTAACCATATAGCCTATTGTAGCAATCGTGCATGTAATGTCTTTACGTGTTCTATTCAGCTTAGCTACAAGGATAGCTGGATGCCTTCGTCCATAATAGGGATTTCCTGGCACATCATAATTTATTACTTCTATGAGTCCTTTTTGGACTTTCTGAGCGAGAGCGCCCTCCGGCTTTGAGTATAAATGAAACATACAATGCACGAGAGTGTTTAGCGCTCCGTAATGTTCACATCTCCTCATTTTGGATACAAATAAAACGGCAGGTCATGCAAAGACTATCTTGTCTCTTGCGTTTAAATCTAGATTTTTTCACACTGGCCCCTGAAAACATCTAGGCTACTTGAACACACTTGCCCAAAAAAAAGTGCGGGGAACGAATTTATGTTTTATTGAAAGTGGGGGGGGGGGACTTGTAATCCAAAGGTTGTGGGTTTGAGTCTCAGGTCCGGCAGGAATTGTCGGTGAGGGGAGTGAATAACCAGCTCTCTCGACCCTTGAGCAAGGCACCGAACCCCCAACTGCTCCCCGGGCACCTCAGCAATATGGCTGCCCACTGCTACGGGTGTAAAAACTGAGTCGATAATGAATCGAAATCGGCATCCAACCCACGGATCAAGCCAGCTGAACGTTGAAATGATTGATGGGGAAGGTTGGATATTGTTTCAGGTTCTGTATCTGGGCCCACAATATGGTTGGACACCTAAACACCTAATCACAACCCATAACACATACACTGAGCATAACATACAACCTCACTGACCTTACTTCTGCAGACTAATAAATATTCCAGCACAGTATTTTAATGCTAAATAGCATGCTACATGCATCTAATTTCAAATACAGATGGATAAATCTTTTGTTTTCAAAATACTTTCTCTCCAAATGGACAAGCAAACTCCCCAAGTTTACTGTACTGGTTACTGTACTGAATCAGTGTTAGTGGCTCTCTGGTGGTCACAGGGCTCTATGCAGCTGCCATTCTTTTATTTTTAGTGTACTAAAAGTGTCAAAAGTCCAAGTAATGATCATTCCAATAGTAAGTCAATTAAATTATTTGTAATAACTTTCAAGTATTAAACAAATGTACAAATTTTATAGATGTTAATAAAGCTTCTGAAAGGGCTACTTGATATGTTAACATTATTACTAGTTTTGTGAGAAATCTGCTAATTCTGTCATTACTCTTGTAGTATAATGTTTATTACAAGCTTCTTTAGTGATGATTGACAGTGGTTTTTTATTGCAGTGTGTGTGGGAGTTTGTGTATTTGTGTGTATGTGTGAGCGTGTGTTTGTGAGTGAGAGTGTGTATGTGTGTGTCCCACAACACAGGGTTTACCTAGACCACACACAGGATAGTAAAACCTGAAATTTTTCACCATTTTTTGGTCCCCATGAGGAAAACTGCATATAAAGCATACAAAATGATGTTTTCGGATTATGTACAAATGCAAAAAGTTTTCTGTGAAGTTTGTGTTTAGGGGTATGATCGAATATACAGTTTGTACAGTATAAACCCAACATGTTTGTTTGTTTGTTTGTGCTCTTTTTCAGTGAGTGATCTGAGGATTGTGCTGATAGGAAAGAATGGATCAGAAAACAACAGTGTGGCAAACATTATACTGGGTACAAAAGCGTTTCAGAATGAAGCTCCATCTTATTCAAATCATCTCAGTGAGATAATCAGTGGAAAGGTGGAGAAGACACACATCACAGTCATCAAAACTTACCTGCTCCATCCAAATTTCCCACATCATCAGATAACAGAGGCAGTGAGAGACTGTGTGTCTCTGTCTGCTCCAGGACCTCATGTGATCGTACTCGTACTGCAGTATAAGGACTTCAGTGAGGAGGACAGACACAGAGTGAAAACTGTGCTGAACCTCTTCAGTAAGCAGGCCATTAAACACACTATAGTGGTGACCTCTGATGAAGACACACTTACATCCAAATGGACTTCTAAGATATGGAATAATACAGTTTCTAATTTAATAAAGGAGTGTGGAGGACATCTTAAGTTTGATACAAGAAACCCAGGATGGCGCTCTGAGTTGATCAGAAGCATAGAGGAGATACGCAAGAAAGAACATGAAGAATTTCTCATCTGTAACATGTATGAGGATGGAGGTGATGGATCATCAGTGGATGAAGATCTGAGCAGCTCTGGAGCTTCAGTCAGAGATGACGACAAAGAGGAAGAGAATTCTGTTGAGAGCACAAAAACAGGACGGGATGGAGGAGGTTTGTCAGTCTTTTTTTCTGGATAATATCTCTAAGAATATGATCATGAAATAGTTTTTTGCCCTTTAATACTTACAGTGCAGTAGAGACAGGAAATGACATGGAGAAAAATGAGGAGCACTACTGTGTGACTTGAACTATTATTTATTCTTTTTATTAATCTGTTTTAGTTAAAAAGCTTCTAAAATGTTTGTAACTAAAAAAGTCAAGTCAAGTCACCTTTATTTATATAGCGCTTTTAACAATACAGATTGTGTCAAAGCAACTGAACAGCATTAATTAGGAAAATAGTGTGTCAATAATGCAAAATGACAATAGTAAACACAAATTTTTCAGTTAAAGACAGTTCATCATTGAATTCAGTGATGTCAACATCCAGCTCAGTTTAAATAGTATCTTTGCAATCAAGTCAACGGTATCGCTGGAAATGAAGTGTCCCCAACTAAGCAAGCAAGAGGCGACAGCGGCAAGGAACCAAAACTCCATCGGTGACAGAATGGAGAAAAAACCTTGGGAGAAACCAGGCTCAGTCAGGGGGCCAGTTCTCCTCTGACCAGACAAAACCAGCAGTTCAATTTCAGGCTGCAGCAAAGTCACATTGTGCAGAGGACTCATCTGGTTCCTGTGGTCTTGTCCCGGTGGTCGTCTGAGACAAGGTCTTTACAGGGGATCTGTATCTGGGGCTCATCTTGTGTGCTTCACATGGTCTTAGCTGTGGTCCAGGTTCCTGTGCAGGCAGGAATCTCAGAGCCTGTGGAACATGTCAACGTCAGTCTCTGGTTTCCATGACCAAGTGGGCTGCTTTGCTTTGGCTCTCTTTGCAACAGGTTCTTTTACACTGTTATTCTCACATCTGAAATAAAAAAAGTAAGCATGCTGTTTACACAAACTACATTATTAACATTATTGTGATGTTCACTGATACTAGTACTGCTTCTCCACGGCCTCCAGCTCGAGCTGCACCGAATGCAGCTCGAACGTGTCCTCACCTGCACTCAAAGGTAGACACACATCCGCCATTAAAGCAAGTAACAGTGAATAGTGTATTAGTAATGTAAGCGAGATTAGCGGCAACCACGCTGGCGATGCTAGCGGGCTATATGCTAATAGCGGACTCGGGAAGTCAAAAATAGAACTAGTGATAACAAGGCGCTCTGATTGTTTTTGTTGTAGAATACGATAGGGGATATATTCACACGTTACAGAAACGAAAATGATGGTGTATAAAATTGATTTTAAGATAAAAAAAATTAAGACGACAAAGAATTAACTTGACGGAGCTCAAACTCAAAACACACGGCAGCAACAAACAGGAAGTGTGCAACAAACAGGAAGTGTTTTCTTTTTGTAAAATTTTTTTTTTTGAAGAGGGCATGCCCAAATATACACAAAACCCTATAAACCCTAAATAAAAACTCAAAACTCCACAAACTTAGAACAGCTCATAATCCACAAGATTCTAAACAAGCATGCAAACTTTTATGAAGATCAGACCATAGGTGGCAGTATAACTTAAAAGGGTGAAAAATGTTATATTTCTATGGCAAATTACATGTGATTGTTGATAATGGTCGTCTTCATGTATTATTTATGTATTGAGTCTACTTGTTTTCAGTCACTACTCGAAAAGCAAAGCTGAACATCGTGCTGTGTGGAAATCATCCAACACTCAAGAAGTCAGTGTCTAAAATATTTCGAGGGACAATGAATAAACAAATGAATATACAAATAAATAAACTTTTCCATCAGAAAGATAAGAGCAATGTGTGTGTGAAGAGAAAGGGGGAGGAGATTGATGGCCGGCAGTTCAGTGTAATAGAGCTTCCAGCTCTCTCCCGTCTCTCAGAGGAGGAAGTGATGCGGGAGACTCTCTGCTGTGTGTCTCTCTGTGATACCGGAGTTCATCTTTTCATCCTCGTTACTCCTGTCACTCCACTCACTAATGAAGACAGAGCAGAAATGGAGAAGATTAAAGGAATATTTAACTCTCAAGAACACTTCATGGTGCTTTTCTTTACTGAACTCACGGTTGACAAAAGTGTAACAGATTTTGTAGCGTCCACAGAATCTCAGAGTGTTGCGAGTCTCTATGGGAGTTGGTACAATGTGATGGGGTTACAGGACCAGAGAAACTCTCAACAGATCTCAGCCCTGTTTGACTGTATAGAGAGCATGAAGACTGAACCCTATTCTCTTCAGACATATACAAGAGCTCCAGAGAGGAGAGTCAGACATGAACTAGAGGAGAAACTGAGACTGAGAGATAATGAAATCAAAGAGTTACAGCAAAAGATCAAGACACTGGGTGAGTGGATTCATTTTTCTGGATAAAGCATTACTATTTTGCATTACTATTTTCTTTCGCTTCAGCTATAATAAAGAGACATTTCATTTCCATGCCTTATTAGCCTGAAGCGTCTAACCCTTCTCCATTGTCCGTTTTAAGTGTTGGCTTTGAAACTGAAACCAGGGATGCAACTCTGGTCTGACAGGTGGGGGTGGGGCATAAGACCTTCGTTCATCTTCAGAACACAAATGAAGATATTTTTGATTAAATCCGAGAGCTTTCTGACCCTGCATAGACAGCAAAGGAACTACCACGTTCAAGACCCAGAAAGGTAGTAAAGACATCGTTAAAAGAGTCCATGTGACATCAGTGGCTCAACCGTAATTTTATGAAGCTACGAGAACACTTTTTGTGCACAAAGAAAACAAAACAAAACAAAACATCTCCCCCGAGTTACCATCTGCCGCATTATCTAGAATACCCTGACGCATCAAAAATATCTTAATTTCTGTTCCGAAGATGAATGAAGGTCTTACAGGTTTGGAACGTCATGAAGGTGAGTAATTAATGACAGAATTGTCATTTTTGGGTGAACTACCCCTTTAACCAGAAATCGCTTACTGCACCTTTAATAAATACCCTTTTTATTCATAAGCTACCTATTTCAAAGAGAAAAAAATATGAGTATTACTCATAATACCATCTTTACAAATTGAGTGAATCGATGATACAGTGACACTTTCATAAAGAGAGTCACTTCATTTCTGAATGAATCAGTTGTTTGAATGAATCAGCTGAATGACTGACTGAATGATTCACTCATTAAGACACTCTTAATTTCAATGAAATCATTTCATATTTCAATATTCATTTTTGAAACCTGTTAATACCCATTTAAATACCATTATTTTTAAGAATTGTTAATGCAATTGTAATTGCATTGTAAATGCATTCATTCCACCTTTGAGCTGCATTAAACAGTCCATGTAAATACGGTATGTCTAAATGCCACTTCAGATGCAGCTTCTGAAAAAATGTTATGGCCATATTGTAGATTTAAAATTTCTCATGTAATGAATTCAAGGGATGTGCCCGAAAAGTGAATCCATATTCGGAATGGCATGGAAAACAAATAACGAGTTCTACAGACCCACTAAAGGGACAAGGTTAGCTGCTTGATAGCGGTGGCCTGTTACATTATACAGTACATACAATTTAATTTACCACATAGGTAAGGAGAAAAAAATTGGGTAGTTTGTCCACTTGGTGGTGCTAAAACAGGAAAAAACATAAAAATGGCTGTAACTATGCAGCTGATTAGTCTGATTGACTTGAAATTTGGCATACATTGGCTTTATCCAAGGTAAATCTCGAAAAACATGGCTGCCATCGGCCAATCAATTTTGAACACCCTTTAGACAAGGTTAATGGAGGCCAATCGGAACTAAACTTGGTAGGCCTCTTTGACTCATTGCCCTAGAGGTCTGTGAGAAATTTAAAAGAAATCGGCCATAGCGTTTTACATCTCTTATATCATGCAATGTTTAATGCATACACACAATATTCATATCATATGTTAGATTCCTCATTCTGAACAACTTTTCCTCAAGAACCACTGCTGTCATCCAAACCTTTTGTTAAATTTGATATTATGTAAAAAAAATTTAAAAAACTTTTTCGAGTTCATCCTGGATGGTTGGTCCGGTTTTCACCAAAATTGATACAGACCGTCTTTTGATGGTCCTTACAAAAAGTTATCAAAAGCTTTTTGATACACCCAATCGTTCTTAAATAATGCATGAATTTGACGAATAACTCTCCAAAGTTGACATGAGGCTGTATCTCCTCAACACTGTATTGTATTCACACCAAACTTGGAGTTTGTTATAACAACCATGTCCTGAGGTTACCTGCACAGTTTCGGCACAGTGCTACCTAGTGGTCAGGAAATATAAAAAATGCCCAAATGGATCTAAGTCTGTACTTCTGCACTGTTTTGGCATATTGGAATCAAACTGTGTGTGTGTCATTGTCATCCCTAGTTAGCCACACCACATCAATTTGGGAGCAGCGCCACCTATTGGTCAAAAGTGATAAATCATTAAATAGTATTACTAGTTGTGGAGGAAATTTTATTTTCTATTCATATTATTAGTAGTTTTATTTGCTTTACTCTACTAAGGAATGTTCTTTCTTTATTGAATGTCAAAGTAATGTGCTTAAATTTGTCATGAGATAGATGAGACATAACAGGAAATCTAATTGCAAGACAAGTGTGAGATGAGAAAATGTTATGTCAGCTTTTAGACGTCCTGGCTTCTTACAAACACATCTGGAGGACATAGTTAGGCACCTTAAATGGACATACATGTTGAATATGCATTATGATTGGATGAGATCAAAGCATGCGGATTTGATGAAGGTATAAATGTTGAGTTGGGGTGCCTCTTTGTCACACTCTGCAGCCTATCTGTATGACTGTAGACTTTTCTTGCAAGAAAAACATCTTCAAAAGACTTTTGTCTCATATGATTTTTCAGCCATTTTGAATAAAATCTACTTAAAATGTCTATAATTACTCAAAGGTCTTAAAGCACTCGAATCCCGGTAATTGCTGCTTGCAGCTATATTATATTTTTATCTCTTTCTCTTGAGTGTTTCCACGAGTATGTGTTCAGCAAAGACGCAAATGGTTTTTAGTGGAAAACTAGTCAAATACAGTGCAATTGTGATTACAGTAATTCAAAAACATTATGTGAATGCAGCATTAATCTAATTTCAAATTACATTGTTGAACTAGTTTATTTCTTTGACACAGATCCAGAGGGTGTGAAGCTGAATCTGGTTGTGTGTGGGAGTAACAGAGAATTAAAATCCTTCACATCAAACCTGATCCTGAAGCAGAGCGAGAGAAGATCCGAGCTGAGCTCCGAGTGTGTGAGGAGAGACGTGGAGCTTGATGGACGTCTGATCAGTCTGGTGGAGCTTCCAGCTCTGTTCAACACTCAGCTCTCAGAGGAGGACATGATGCGTCAGACTCACCGCTGTGTGTCTCTCTGTCATCCTGGAGTTCATGTGTTCATCCTCATCATTCCTGATGCTCCACTTAATAATGAAGACAAACCAGAAATGGAAAAGATCCAGAGGGTCTTCAGCTCAAGAGTCAACAAACACATCATGATCCTCATAAAGCAGAATCCAGAGCATCAGACAGCAGAACTCAATGAAGAAACACAGTCTGTCATTGAGAGATTTGAAGGACGACATCATTTCATCGGCCTGAACACACAAGTGTCTGAGCTGATGGAGAAACTGGAGCAGATGATTGAGGAAAATAGTGGTGTTTGTTTCTCCACAGAGACATTGATGGAGGCACAGATGGAGAAACTGCAGAAATTTGAAGAAATGAAGAAGAGAGTCGATTCATTACAGACGTGGTTTCAGTCACAAGGTAATGATTAGGAAATCTGCATTGGTTAAACACTTTTCATGATTGCTGAAATCAAAACAATATTATATGCAGACTACAGAACAAATAATATGATTAGCACTGGATGCTTCAGTATAAATTATATAGGCTACAATTGACAGTATTCACTTGAAGTTGAATAAATCGTTTTTTTGTTTTTTTTTTATCTATCTTTAGATTCAAGAAACAGAGATGAACTGAGGATTGTTCTGCTGGGAAAAACTGGAGCTGGGAAGAGTTCAACTGGAAACAACATCTTAGGAAGAGAAGCATTTAAATCAGACTTTTCTGAAAAGTCTGTTACTAAAGAGTGTCAGAAAGAGACAGATGAAATCAACAGCAGACACATCACTGTGATCGACACTCCAGGACTGTTTGATACTGAACTCAGTAATGAACAGATCCAGAGAGAAATCAGAAACTGCATCGCTATGATCCTGCCTGGACCACATGTGTTTCTCTTACTGATTCCACTGGGACGATTCACTCAAGAAGAACAAACAGCAGTGAAGATCATCCAAGAGACGTTTGGTGTGAACTCATTAATGTACACCATAGTGCTATTTACCAATGGAGACAAACTGAAGAACAAAACCATTGATCAGTTTTTGGGAGAACCTGGATCTGCCCTTAAAAATCTGATTGAAGCGTGTGGAAACAGATTCCATGTGTTCAATAATGAGACTAGAGACCAAACACAGGTGACTGATCTACTGCAGAAGATAGACAACATGGTGAAAACAAACGGAGGAAGTTACTACTCATGTAAGATGTTCAGAGAGATGGAAAGAGAAATACAAGAACAACAGAAGAAGATACTGATGGAGAAAGTGGAGCAAGTGAACAGAGAAAAAGAAGAACTGATGAACAAACATAAAGAAGAGAAAAAGAGGATGAAGATGAAAATGGAGGAAGAACAACAAAATCATGGCAAAGAGAGAAAGAGAAGAGAAGAAGAATTTATTGAGAGAGAAGAAAGATATAAAAGAGACATTAAAGACATCGAGGAACAAGAGAGAAAGATACGAGAGGAGCTGAAGAGAGAACGAGAGGAATGGGAGAAACAGAAACAAGAGGAAAGACAAAGAAGAGACGAAGAGGTGGAGAAATGGAGAAAGAAAGAACAGGCGATGTGGGATGAATATAATCAGAGACTGAAAGAAGAGAAGGAGGGAATAAAGAT